CACTATTACCTTCATGGACAGATGGAATTGGTTGTCTTTAATTGTTAGTCAATCTGGTTGGTATGTGGTTGCTTTAATTGTAATTGTAATTTTCATTTCCCTGACTACTAAAGCTGTTGGGTAACTTTTCACTGTTTATTGTCCTTCTGGATTTCCTCTCTTAAGAATGTCTATTTATCTCCTTGGCCTGTTTGTAAGAATGGGTTGTTTATCCTGATTTTTAATAACTTTTATCTAAATCGGTGCTTGATCAATCATTTTGACAAAGTGAATATTTTTATCTACTTTGAGTTTGTTACAGAAATATTCATTAGAGTCTAATGTCAACTGCATGTATTCTCTGGAGGCTGTTTGTGCTTACCTTTGTTTACAGTGTTTCTTGCCTTGCAGAGCTTTTCTATGTTTATAGAGAAGTTCATTGACCTTTTCCTGTATCACATCTAGGATTCAGCTTTTAGGTGCTACAAATACAAGCCACATATAGTTTAAAATATTTCATATGTTAGTCACACTTTAAGAAGTAAAAAGGAGGTGAAATTATTTTAATAATATTTTTATGTATTATTAAATATATTAGTAAGTCTGTTATAGCCAAATACTTATCCTTTCAACATGAAATCAATGTAAAAACTATGAATAATTTACATTTTTATATCAATACTTCAAAATCTGATATGTGCTTTATTCTTAAAGCATGTCTCGGGTTAGATTACCCATATTTCACATGTTTATTGCCACTGGTGGCTACTATTTGAGATAGGTCATATCTTTGCTAAGAGGAGCTTTAGCTCTGTGGCTAGTTTATTTTTACAGTGAAGATCTGATACTTCTACAGTTGGCTCAATAAAATCTTACCACGGTTGGTTGAAACGTCAGTATCTTCCATCTCTGTGTGGCTTTTGGGCAGCTGTTTGGTGTAGAGCCCCCATTAGTTATCTTTGTCTCAGTTCCTATATTTTCTCAGCTCTTGAAGTCTTGCTGCTGCAGGTCCACTTAGTATTCACGCAAAGACACAAAAGGACCTCTGCACAGACTTCTGCAACTCGGTGAGCAACCCCCACCCTTGTAGCATGCATTCTGCTGTATAAATTCAATAGCGAAGCCCCCCTAACTGTCTCTGTCCTGTCTCAGCCGAGCGACTGTCTTCTGTTTGCAGTCTCCTTCCTGTCCTGTGGTAGGGAAAGGACCTCCAGGCAGCAAGTCTGGGTGATCCTACGGCTTAGCTCATTAGTTTACTGTGCTAGCAGCTTCCCATTACTGTTGAAAAAATTCAATTTGAAGGAAGAAAAGTTTATTTTGGCTCAGTACTTAAAAGTGTCAATCCTTGGTTGCTTGGCTCTTTGGCTTTGAGTCTGTGATGTACAGTATGCTGTGGTGAGAGCATATGGTAGAGAAGACTCCTAATCTCACAGTGGCTGGGAAGCAGAGAAGACCTCAGTGAGACTGGAGTCCCAGGGTCCTCTTCAAGGGCACCACCCCCTCAGTGACTGAACTTCCTTCTGATGGATTCTCCTCCTAAAGCTTCTGCCTCTGTGGTTCTCCTTGAAGCACAGGCCTGTACCATATGAGCCTTTAGGGGGCACCTAAGACCCAAATCATAACATTTATTTCTGAATTGGAGGTGAGTGGGTAGAGTAGAGGCTGTTTTTTGATGCTCAGAAGCAGAAGTCCTACATCAAAAAAAAGGTTTTGAGTTTATTAGTTTTCTTTCCAGTTTCTTTATAATTACTTTGTCTTTATTAATCCCTTTTATTGTCTTCTCTAATTTATCTTTTTATAACTTCATTTATTTTTATTCTTCCTGTTTATTAGGAACATTAATATCATGAATTTATTTCCCTGAGGGGCCCCTTTAGTTGTTTCCCCAAGTTCGGATGTGCAGGAGAAGCAGTACTTGCTCAGTACACAAAAAATGACCATTTTTGTGGTCATTATGCTCTAGATCATTTGCAGTTTTGGTCTTGGCTTTCTCTTTGATTCACACTTGTTCCAGAGATTTAAAAGTTTTTGAGATGGTAGAGTTTTATATTTCAGTTTTCTGGTACTGTTAATTTTTAGTCACAATGCATTATAGATAGTATCTGCACTGTTTATAATTTTTGCAAATATTTGAAGATTTCACTGTAGTTTACTACACAGTGACTATTATTTTACCACAAAACTTTGTAAACAATGTGTTATTCATTAAGAGTGTAGTGTTGACTTTAAATGACTAAATGTTATCAATTTGCACATATAAATTTCAATTAGCAATATTTTTCTATACGTATGTATATTGATATGTGTTTAGTTTGGGTACCAGTAGATTTCATATGTACATATATAATACTGTATATTTTTGTTTAGTATTTGAGATGGAGTCTTGCCAGTTCAGGCTCACTTTGAACTTTCTGCATAAACTAGGATGGCCTCAAACTCCTGATTCTCAGCCTCTAAAGCGCTGGGCTTACAGGCATGTCCCACCATCCCTGGCTACTTAGATTTTTTTTTTTTTTTTTTTTTAAAGAAACTTAGTGCTGGGCTGGGGATTTAGCTCAGTAGCACAGCGCCTGCCTGGCAAGCACAAGGTCGTGAGTTCAATTCCTGGTACCAGAGAAAAACCAAAAAAAAGAAACTTAGTGCTTTAAAAATGTGTGAAGGTGACTAGACTGTAAAAACCCCGAGGTCGTCTAAAATGTGTACACTTTTTTTTTTCTTTTGTACTGGGAATTAAACTCAGGACCTTGCGTTTTTCAGGCAGGCACTTATGCTGCTGAGCTATATCCCTGGCCAAATGTGTACAATATGAATATAAATTTGTGAAGCCTCTGAGTACAGAGTTGAGATAAAAGGATACCTAAGGTATTCTGTTTCTTCATTTGATTCCATTTTTTCTTTATGAAATATGCTTAATAAAAAAAATCTAGATTACACAGGCCTAGGCCTGGTGCCATACCAGTCTGTTATTAACAAGTGAGAGCATTAAAGAGTTTTTAATTGGTCCTAGGAAAAGTAAAGGTGAAATGAAAATGTAATTCCCCTGGACCTTTGTTCAAAATGTATTTTTCCATCACTGCTGTAAGAGATGAATTGTCATGAGCCTGTTTCTCACCACTTGGCCATGCATGCGTAGTCTGTGTTCATAGTTTGGGAGAGGAAAGTTGGTAAAGGAATTGGAGAGTAACGGAAATCTTGCTGAGTTGAGTAAGCTGGGGTTGTCAAATATATTGCAGCATGACAATCATGCTGCTGCTGGGGAGATAAGAAGCCCTGGGGCTGGTGACACAAAAAACTGCCCTTTCCCAAAGTGTCACTATTTGACCTGGTACCCAGATGTTGTGAATTCTGTCTTTGGACTTTTCTGACCCATCACTTAATCCCGTGTCAGTTTCCCCATCAGCAAAATGGGGGTATGCCCAGTTCAGGCCTTCTTCTTCTCGGTGGTTTGGGACAGTGAACAACTAGGGGGTTGTGCAGAGAAGCCCATTCAGGATTCCAAGGAGCCAGGAAAACCTAGGGCCCAGGTTCACTGCCCACCTTATTGCCCTATAAGCTTTGTGGAAGGAGAAGGGCACTTAGCTAGGAACAGTCATCAATCTGAAGTGAGTAAGGAGTTTCGCTGCCGGCAAGAAGTTCAAGCAGACAGCAGGAGGGAGTGGGGAGGCCTCCAGCAAAACGTCATTTAGGGTGCTGTGGAGAGGCAGAGGATACATGTCTGAAAGAGAGGGAAAAGATACATTCTTGGCTTTGGAGCTTGTTATTTAACAGAGAAGAGAGAAAGGGACACACGAGAGTCACATACGAAGCTATTATAAAGACCTGTGGCCATATAGCACCCCCTCTCAGATAATTAAAAATTAATAATCCACATCCAGTATGGCACACACCTCTATTCCAGCAAGCTGAGAAGCTGAGGCAGGAGGATCAAAAGGTCAAGCTCAGCCTGGGCAACTGAGGGAATTCGCCAGACTGTCTCAAAGTACAGAATTTAAAAAGGAAAAGGGCTGGGGATGTCGCTCGGGGTGAAAGCCTTGAGTTTTAGCCTCAGTACGGGGGTGGTGGAGGCGGGTCAAGAACTCCTGAGGTTGTCAGACCATGGCTCTAGGGTTTGGCTCAGAAACACATTCCCCGTGTTTCTATGCGCATCATTTAGGACACATTTCCTAGCACCTGCAGTACTCCCAGAAGCCCTCCTGTTAGGGGTTAGAAATGAGGCCTCAGGGCTCAAATTCCTGTTACATTCCAAGTTTCTATCTCACTCTTTTTTTTTTTTTAAACTTGTGTATTTTAAAGATGTACACCATGGCATTTTGACATACACGGTGAAATGATTCCTACAGTTAGGCAAATTCGATCAGAACTTCCAGAGTGAGGCGTGTTCCGCCTAAAATCTACTCCCTTAGCAAAGGTTCACCGCACGACAATACTGTGAGCCTCTTGTGAGTGCTGGTGCTGTAGGTTGCATCTCTACATTTACTCACGGTACAACTGCACTGCCTGCCCTTTGGCCTGTAGGTCAGCCCCTTCTTCTCCCTCCCGTCCTGAGCAACAACCCTTGCTCCGCTCTTTGCTTCTGTTTTTGCCTTGTTTTATTTTGTTTTTTTAAGGTTGCACTTATAAGAGATCTTGCTGTCACTCCCTCTTTTAGGGCTTTGGGAAGCACCTATCCTCCGGATCCCCGATGGTCAGGGTCACAACAGCCTGTGCTGGGCAGAGTGCACTTTCTCTTTTCTTTCTTTAAGGCAGTGGTTCTTAACTTTACATTCCCTTCCACATCACCCTTTGGCGACTTCTGGAGACCTCCGGTCACTCCTCCTGTCACTCCTCCTGTCACTGCCTGCACAAGACAGCTTCCCTCCCTTCTACCGCTGTGCTTTGCGATCTTGGAGTAAGAAGATCAAAACGCGCTCACTGACGCCTGACCCTCGCGCTGCCTTCCGCGCAGTGAGGCCGTGCCGGGACCGCCGCAGCCTACCCCGGCCTCCCGGCTGTGCGGTATCCGGTATCCGCTGTGCTAGGGGACAGCGCCGAGCTCACCTTCCCACACCGCCTGAGAGGGGGCGGACGGTGAAAGGGGGCCCGGGCTTTTCGTCCCCCCTGGGGATGAAGCACCCTCGGAGGCTTTAAACAAAGTCAGGGCTCTTTTATCCGGATCCCACTAGCCCGGTTGGGGCTGACTCAGCTCCTTCGCTGCACCCGGCGCTCCCTAAAGGAGCGAGCGCCCTGCCGCTCTCCCAGGGCCGGCGGCGGCGAAGGCGGGCCCAGGCGAGCTGTCCACAGCGGCCCAGAGCTGGCCTTGGAGGGCCCTGACGGTTGTGGGGTGCACGGCGCGGTGGCGAGGAGGAGGTACCTTCCTCCAAGCCAGCGAGCGCCAGGGGCGCCCTGCAGCTCCCAGCTCCGGGGCTGCACCCTGGGAGGCTGTCGGGCCGAGACGCCAGGCCGGCTGGCAGGGCTGCGGGGCGGCGGGGAGGTGCGGCCGCCCGCCTTCCCCACCGTGCCTAACTGTTGAGTCAAACTCCGCTGGCTGGCTGGACCTGCAGCCAGGCCTCGGCACAGTTTGCTGTGGTTAATGATTGATCACCGACTACCCTTTCCGGAGCTACCCAGAAGGTCTGGAGGGCGGGCCAGGGCGGCAAGGGCCAGGGAGCAGGAGCGGGGGCGCAGCGCCGCGAGTCCGGGTGGCGCCCTCCGCGCAGAGGGTTAGGGCAGGGGCGCGGGCGCTGCGCGGACCCGCGGAGGGGCGGGGAGGCCCGGCCGCCCTCCGCAGCTGAGTCCCAGCCTCGCGCCAGCTCTCCTCTCTCAAAACCCCACCCCCAGGCACCCCAGCCCTCTCCTAGCGTGGATTGCTCCAGGAAGCTCCCATAAAAGCACCTCAAGTGCTAAATTACTTCTGCCTGGGAACTCTAGAGTGAGTCCTGCGTCCAGTCCCGCAGAGTTGCAGCCAAGAACTTGGAGGTCTGTTGGCAGGAGAAAGGAACGTTGAGAAGTCTTTGGACCCGGTGGCGCAGCACTCTCTGTCATGGCCTCACGCAGTGACTCCAGCAGGGACTGCTCCCATATCATCGATCACGACCATGTCCCCCAATTCGAGGTGGCCACCTGGATCAAAATCACGCTCTTCCTGGTGTACCTGGTCATCTTTGTGGTGGGCATCCTGGGGAACAGCATCACCATCCGTGTTACCCAGGTGCTGCAGAAGAAAGGCTACCTGCAGAAGGAGGTGACCGATCACATGGTGAGCCTGGCGTGCTCCGACATCTTGGTCTTCCTCATTGGGATGCCTATGGAGTTCTACAGCATCATCTGGAACCCTCTGACCACCCCCAGCTACGCGCTGTCCTGTAAGCTTCACACGTTCCTCTTCGAGGCCTGCAGCTACGCCACGCTGCTCCACGTGCTGACGCTGAGCTTTGAGCGCTACATTGCCATCTGTCACCCCTTCAGGTATAAGGCCATGTCAGGACCCTGCCAGGTGAAACTGCTGATTGCCTTCGTCTGGGTCACCTCTGCCCTGGTGGCACTGCCCTTGCTTTTTGCCATGGGTATCGAGTACCCTCTGGTGCACGTGCCCGCTCACCGGGGCCTCATTTGCAACCGCTCCCGCACCCGCCACCGGGAGCAGCCCGAGGCTTCCAACATGTCGATCTGTACCAATCTCTCCAGCCGCTGGACCGTGTTCCAGTCCAGCATCTTTGGCGCGTTTGTCCTCTACCTCTTGGTCCTGCTCTCTGTGGCCTTCATGTGCTGGAACATGATGCAGGTGCTCATGCGGAGCAAGCAGGGCACAATGGCCGGGACCGGGCAGCAGGTGCAGCTGAGAAAGTCTGAGAGCGAGGAGAGCCGGGCCGCCAGGAGGCAGACCATCATCTTCCTGAGTGAGTGAGTCCCTGAGTGGGTGACCTTCCCACTCACCCACCTGAGCCATTTCCTGTGGTCCTCTTCCCTGGAAGTCTTGACCTAGAAGTGTAAACTCAAATTCATTGAGGCAAAGGTCAGAGCAGAGTGCAGAATGAGGGTATTGACCTTGATCTGGGTGTCAGGAGGTTTCTTTAGATTTTGAGGTTTTGCAGTGGGTTATGGTGAAAAGAACACCAGACTAAGAGTCAAGAAGTCTGGAAACACATCTCTGTGACCTCAGGGCAAGTCACCCAAACTTATCTTGGGTAAAATGGGGATGACGATAGTGGGAAATACAGGGAGGATATAGGTAATGCAGGGCAGGTGAAAGTTCTCTGTGAGCTAGTTCTGCAGAGATAAACAGACTACCTTGTCTCCTCTCTTTGCTCTGGAGAGCCTGTTTCAAATAATTAGCTTGTGCTCCTATTTTTCTCTTTTGGAGCAACCAGACTGATCCCTTATTCCCCCTGGAATGATCCTACTGCCTGTCTTAAGAAAACGGAACTCTTAGACACTCTCTCTCCAGGGTCGTGCTCTCCCCAGGGTAGTGCTTGGGTTTCTGCAGCAATAGGTCTGTTTCTTACCAAAGCAGAGAAAAATGGCAGCATGGACCATTTGGTCCAGAAAAAGACAATTTGGCAGATTTGTGGGTCTTGACTGATTATCTACAGTAACCAGTTCCCATGTAAAGAGAGTTGTTTGCTTTCCAGACTTTGTTTTGATAGAAGTGTTTAATATCAAGGCCATTTCTGGATTTTGAGGGACTATTTCAAGAGAATTCCAGGATCTGTAAGGCCCCAAAACCTTCAGAAGAGGGACCTTGTCCTTGTCTTCTGGAGACAAACTTTACTGTAGACACATGAAATGTGTATGAACAAAGGGCTTTAAAGAATTATTTTTTTAGCTAAAATAAGAAAAGAGTAATATTAAGGGTATTTGAGTGTGAATCAGAGAGAAGTTGGTATTACAGGCGTTTCTTGCTTCTTCCTTCTCCCTTTCCCAGTATGGTGAGTCAGGAAAAAGAATCATGCTTGGTGCTATTTGCTTTGGTGTGGGAAACCTGAGTAACTAGTTCCAGGGGCGGGAGTTGGAGGAGAAAATTGGAAGGCACGTGAGTCTGTATCAGCGCTGCTCCTGCTCTTGGGCGTGTTTGCAAGCAGGTGACTTGATTTTAATCTAAATGATCAAAAAAGAGAGCAGGAACTTGCAAAGTTTGGTTATCTATGCTGCAGCCTGGGCTACGCTGGGTAGTTTCTGTTTGCATTTCCTAGGGGAGGAATGGGAGGCTTGGACTGGACAGATCAAAATCTCATCAAGTGCAACTCTAAGGTTCTCACTCAGCTTTTTAGAGGGTCTGGCCATAACTTTTGTAGGCATGTAGTGAAGAGAAAATGAAATAAGGCAGGGCTTCCACAAACAAGGTGCTGTCTAGATTAACCTGCAGTGTTGCTGCTCCCTTGGGCCGGCCTCACTTGAAGCTGGAGTAGGGAGTCCTGGCAGGCATCCTCTGGAGGCCTGGGAAAGACATTCAAACCGTCTCAGTCTTTGTTTCCCATTGGCTGCTACCCAGAATATACTGCGGAGAAATGGACATTGCACTTGCTTAACGCTTGCGTATTTGTGGAAAGACTGTTTCTTCTAATGTGTCTCCTAGCTACTTAGGCTTATCTTGAAGTACTTAGCTGTATATACTGTAATGTGAATGGTGGATTTCTGTCTTTTTTGTGTGTAGGGCAGTAAGAATTAGAGGGTAGACGAGAATGTATAAGTGTCGGGCTGTAGCGGGCACCTGTAGCTCAGCCTACCTGGCATGTATGAGGATCTGGGTTTGATAACCCACACAGCTGCTCCCCCCAAAAGGAAATTACTTCTCAGTCTAATTTAGGAATTAAAGTTGCCTTCAGTCAAAGGAAACATGATTGATTTACCTTTGCTCTCTGACCGCTGTCTGCATTACAAAAATTTTCTCTGAGTAGATATGTGTTCTTTTCCCAGTGGGTGTTCCAAGTTAAAGTCTGCTGTCATTTGGTAGTATCAAATCAGAATGTGACAAGAGTTTATGTAGAGGTGGAGGGGACCTTGGGGATCATCTCCTTGGGTTAGTAATTGCCTGGAGTGAGTTTGTTCTCTGGGATGCTTCCATCCTTTGCTCCTAGCTCTCTCCCTCTTTCTTGTAACAACTATTGTATTAATCACCCACTGTGCTCCCAGCACTAAGATTGCTGAATGGCAATCAGGTGCTCAATGTGGGACTATGTCTTGAGGAAATATCCATTTGTATTTAGCCCATTTCCTCTGCAGTAGGTTTTCAAAGCAGCTCTTGCAAATGTCCCCCTCTGCCAATGAGTTTCAAAGAGCTTTTAAAAATAGGAACCTCCCTAATTAACTCAAGTTAGGAAATAAATTAATGGACCGAAGAGGTAAAAATCATGGTCTGCATCCATCAGATTAATATAATGCAATTTACTTTGTGTGTTTCATAAAACTTGTGCTCTCGGGCATTTTTAACCCAGAAGAAATGAACATATAAATTGCTTACAAATTGCTGGATTTAATATAGTGAGTTTGCTGTCCTTTTAGTATTTCATTTGACAGATGGATCAAATTAAAGCAAATATTTGTTCATCTGAAACATATTTTGAATTTAATGTGAAATGTAAATGACGACGTAGCACAAGATGTCTTTGAAATTCTTGGAGTTAGAAGAAAAACAAGGGTCCCTCCTCCCCATTTTTAAAAATTTTAACTTCTGTATAATGGAGACAAAATTCTTAAATCTATCCAAGATGAAGAAGCCCATGTAGCTATCAGGTTTCCTTTCTGCATCTTTCATTTTTCTGCCCAAGGTGAGTTGCTGGGCTGGAGAACAAGGAAAACAAATTAGGAGCAAACCGGGGGAGAAGAAAATGCTGAGATGACTACAGGTCCCAAGCCATTTGCAGTAGAAAAAGATAATGGAAAAGAGCACATTCCTGTGAATGTGAGTGCCTTTCTTGTCCCACGCCAGTTCAGTGACAAACCAGGCTGAGGTTGTTTCCGGCTGCAAGGTTATGGCTTACGTGGGTGTGGCAGTACTTGACCAATGTCAGAACAGAGGTTCTGAGTCTGGATTTGGGCCTCTTCTGGAGAAAAGGCATTGGTAGATGTGGCTCTTTGTCTCTTGGTTGTTGAGGATGTGCAACACGCAAGGCTTTCCCGTACCTTTCTTTCCACCTTTGTCTTTCTAAACCTCTGCTTCAGAATGAGTCTCACATGTGCCCAGCATCGAGGCCCATGGATGTGTGGCTTTCTGTCAAGTCTCACCCACTCCAAGTGGAACAATGCAGTGGTTTCAAATGAATTTTAATCTGTAACTTTCAGGAACATGAAAGGGTTGGGCGTCTATTGCAGCTGCCTCCCAAGGGCAGCAATTGACTTCAACAATAGTTAGGCAAAAGGATTTTTACAGACAATCTTGGAGCTACAAAATTAAAGGAACGTTATAGAAGATTCTGCTACAATGATAATTGTCTTCTTTATATTCTGATTTATTGTCCTAAAACAGAGGGCAAGGGAAGGAATGACACCAGATGGCAGGAATTGCCCTTGAACTTGGGTTGCCCATGGGAGGATCTCTTGAATATGACCATCACTCATCACACATGTTTGGGTGGAAAAAGGGTAAGAGTTGCCACTGTCAAGGGATATATTTAAGTATTGGTGGAGTGGGCTAGGAAGGGAAAACAAGATCAGAGGTATATCACATCACACTTGTATCCTTTCGGTTTTTAGACTCCAGATTTATTTATTTTATTTCATTTTATTTTATTTTACTCTTGTTTTTTTGAGACAGGGTTTTGCTATGTAGTTCAGGCTGGCCTCAAACTTACAGTGATCCTCCTGTCTCAACCTCCTGAATGCTGGGATTATAGGTGTGCACTACCATGCCTGGCCTTAGACTCCAGATTTAGAGAGCAAGGAAAAAGGGTGAAAGAGAGAGAGAGAGAAAGAGAGTGAGAGAGAGTGAGCACGTGCTGGTATGACCTCTATTGGGCTCTTTATCTGAGGGCAAACAGTTCCTGAATAGAACTCTTAAAGTAAATTCCCTTAACATGGTAGGGACTTGAAAATGAAATTATGAAGGAAACTTGTATTTTATAAGTATAGGTTATAATTATGATAATGTTAATTCTTATAAAAATTATTCAGCATTAATCAAGTGCTGCTTTTTGAGGACAGGATTTTTCTGATGGAGCTTTTTGATAACCTTTGTTTTGGATTTTCCCAGGATGTTATAAAGAAATCTTTCTCCCAAAGGCTTGTCATATTTTTTACTATTTAAATCATCCACACTGAAGCTCATGTCCTCGAATCATTATTGTCAATGTCCCATTATTTCACTATTTTTTTATTTTTATTTTGAGACAAGGTCTTGCTAAATTGCCCAGGCTGGCCTTGAACTTGTGATCTTCCTATCTCACTCAGACTTCCAGGTAGCTAGAATTACAGGTGTCCACCCCTACACCTGGCTTTATTCTACTATTACATGATTTAATTTGGACAAACTTTCGTTTGTCAATGCTTGGCATTTCATCCATGTGTTTCTTCAGCTCCTTGTTCATTGATCATGAAATTTAGTACTTTGTATCCAAGCCATAACCGAGAATATAATTATTTTAATCTGAGCAACTTTGTTGGAGATAACAATATGCAATACAACAACCACTGTTAATGCCTATCATTTTGTTTTGAAACACTGTATCATTTTTATTGTTTTTACTTTGTTTATTTTTTGTCTATGTTGTTGTTACTTTATTTTTAAAATTCTCTTTAAAAATAAAAAAATCCCCATATTTCAGTATATATCAAGGGTTACATGGAAACTGTTGCTTTCAAATGCTTCTAAAAGTGCCATAAGAATCTTTTAATAGTTTTTCTTGATTAGTTTAAATACTGGTCTTACAATCATGGTTTCACCATTAATTTTCTTAGCAAAGGC